ATGGAAATGTGACCCCAGCACTAGCCGGCTCTAGGAAGGCCTGCGAATTCGAAATCAGCCTTGCAGAGAAGGCTGCTGCTGGCAGGTTCTCTTTTGTTGCCTTCGGAAGACTCTGGATGTTTTGTTTTGGAGAAAGTGGGCAGGGGCGACCCCAGCGGGCCTGTCGTCTGGTTTATCAGAGCTGCAGAAAGGGGCTGGAACCGCCAGGAAGGAGCAAGCTGGCCGAGCAGGAGCAGGCGCGGCCCCGATGGGGAGCCACGATTTCGGGACAGCCCATTTCTACAGGGATTCCGCCAGACGGGTGCCGGGCCGCGCTTGCTCGGCCTTTGTCAGTTTCTGCGCTGCTGATGTGATCGCCTAATCCAGCGCCCCGCAGAAGAATAGGCTGGGCTGCCACGGGCCCCACCCAGCTCCAGGGCCCGGCCCCAGGGCCGCGCGACCTGCCGGAGGGCGCCAGGAGCGATGGGTGCAGAGGGGCTGTGAAAACGCTGATCCGGGCGGCTGGACCTCTCCTTCCTCGCCTCGGCTCTCGTGGCTCGAGCGCCGAGCCTCAGGGAGGACACAGAGGGGGCGCCCGTGGCAGTGGGCGCCCAGCGGTGACTTTGGGTGGGGAGAGATGGGGCTTTCTCTGTTCGGGTTCGGAACCAGAAAGGCACTGGCCCCCCGGGGTGAAGGGGTGGGCGCCGACCACCCGGGCCGAGGCCGCCACCTGCAGAGGGCGCGCGCGTCCCACCAAGGTCGGCCGCCGGCCCTTTGGACGGACGGGGGAAAAGCCAGCCGCGGCTCCAGGGTGCCCGGGATGCAATCGCGCCAGCTGCAACCCGGTCACCTCCGCCTCCAAAGTCTCAGGAGGAAACCCCCGACCCAGCCCGCAGCCTCTCTCGCAGCGTTCATCAGGACCCGAACAGAATGGACGGAACAGAAACCCGCAGGGCCCTGAGCCGCGCCAGTCTTGGACTAAAGTTGGGTCCGAGGTTCCTCTGGGCCTGGAGGGCTTTTAGGTGAGAAGAGGAAACCAGCACAGGAGCCGGGGCCGGGTATGTGCGACAGCTGCCGGGGCGCAGAGGACGGCGCCTAGATCAGGATGGTGCGAAGCTAGCATCGAAAAGACGGAAAGTAATCCGATCCGACACTCCAGGAAGAGCAGGAACCTTCCAGCCCAACCAATGTGCAGGGCCAGGTTCCCCGCCGCGGTGGCCACACAAGCCCGCCCTGTCCTAGGGACACAGGGTAACCGGTCTGCCCTGAGGCCGCGGCGCACATCTGGTATCTGCAGCTGTGGCGGGGGGCGGGGGGGAGGGTTCCCCGGGAATCTGCCCAGGAAACGCAAATCCGCGAAGGCGCTCCTCAAAGCCGAGGCTGGTGATGGCCAGCGAACCCAAAAAAGGGGCAGGGTCGGCAACCTCCTATCTGCTTAAGCAGGAGCCCATGCCACTGCCCCACACGCCCACGAGTGGAGGGGGGAGGGAACCCCGTCCGAGCGGCGACCGTCGCGGGGGCCACCCCACCCACCTTCCCTTGACTCTCCCTGCTCGCGCAGAGACCTCTTGTTGCGGCGGGGGCAGCCTCGGGCGGAGGACTTTGACGCCTGGCGGCCAGGACTCTCCTCGGCCGGCACCGCTGGCCCTCACGTCGGAAGGAGACACAAGGCTCTGTGACCCGCTGCCCTGGGCCGGGGCGCCAGGAGCTCCTGTCCTCTCGCGCCCTCCCACACCGGTCACAGCTAGGGAAGGGGGAAGCTCCGCCAAGGGCCGGGCCACTGACTCCTCGGCAAGCGGCGGGAGATGCTTGAGCGGCCCCGGTCCCCGTCCCTCCCGGCGGGCTGTACGGGTGAGCCCGAATCGCGGCTTCTGGGCAGGGCGGGGCACGATGGAAGCAGAACTGGGTTTAATGAGGAGCCTCTATGGGGATGCCGATGGTGGCCTTCCTGTGCGGGCTTCACGACCCCGCCCCCACTGCTGTTAAGTCTGCGGCCAGAAAAGGCCAAGAACACCTCCCTCTCCACCCCCACCCCGCACTCTGCTCTCCCCGCACCGACCCTCGCCCAGCGTTGGGGTTTAGGCCCGCCGAGGAGACCTGGGCCGGGGAGGCTGCGGGGACTCGGGGGCGGGGGCGCGCGGGGCTGCAGTGCCGAGGCTCCAGGTTCACTAATCACATCAGCAGCGCTCTGCGCCGGCTCCGAGCAGGCAGTTGCCTAGCAATACCCGCGAATTCAATTCCTCAATCAATAGGCGCTAGGCTCTGCATTTCGGGGAGCGCTAGCAAGGTTGCATGGGTCTAGGGAGTGGGTCTCACGACAGCTCCGAGGAGCAGGCCCGGGAGGCTGTGGGCAGCGCGGCGACGCCCCGGGGACTCGGAGACCAGACACCTCTGGCCTGGGGGTGTGGCGCGCTTGAGGAGCCCGCCAAAAAGGGGAACCCCCGACCCCAGGCGCATCCTCCCGGGATCCCCAGATTCTGCCCGGGACCGGAAGAAGTGCAGCCAGCAGGTGCGAAGAGACACGGCTTCCCCCGGACGGGCTGAGAAGAGTCGTACCCCGCGGCCTCCCACGCCCACCTCTATTCCAGCTGGGTGGGTTCCCCAGTTGGGGAAGGGCCTTTTCAGGAACCATTCCCCCACCGACGGAGGCGAGGATGGCGCCGGGGGACGGAATGGATCCTCTCCTCCCGGGATGCCTCTTCCCTTTGCTCGGGGGAAAGAAAAAGAATAAAACCAAGACAGGTCTCTATTTACAAAGTATATATTTAAACACGTAAAAAGCAGTATTGGATACAGACATTCACGACCGCAGAAGATAGGTACTGAAGCTTCACTCTTGAGCTGAGGCGGAGATCGATTGGAGATTTGTACAAATCTTAGAATTAAATAAACCCAACAGCGCACACATCCTGCGCGGTTGCAGACTCCCAGCCACACGGCCCCCGGCCCCTGCCCACCCACCCCCCCCCCCAGGTCAGCGTCGCAAGAGCGAGCGAAGAAGACACACACGCACGGCCACGGACAAACAGCAGGACGAGGGCTGCAGGGACAGAAATAGGCTGGCTGGAGGAAGGTCCAAGGGAAGGGGCAAAGTCAGCCCCAGGAAAGGAGGGACGTGGGAGTGAAGGGCAGGCGTGTAAGAAGGGAAGGCGGCGGCCAGGTGAAGAGACGCGTGTCCCCAAGTCCGGTCCACTCGGTAACAGACATGCCCTTTCAGTGAAGTTTCATCTGAAAATAGCGTCGACATTTAAATAGATACACTCGGTCAACGGCGCTTCTTTATACAAAGTCTAAAATACCAGTTTTACAAATGTGAGCAGATAAAAATCCCCACTCCAGGGACTTCTCTTTATAGGCGCAATTTGATATTCAAAGACAACCAGAATCCTGTAGTACACCGTTTCCCTCCTGTCCTCTCTTTAAAGGCAAGAAAGTCTGGAGGAGAGAGGCTGAGATGCCCGAAGTACGGAGGACGAGGCTGGGGTTCCCTCCAGGACTCCCCACCCCAGGCGAAGCTCCCCATCCCCGACTCCCGCCTCGCTCGCCCCGAGTCTGTGCTTCCTCTGGAGCGCAGGGCCCCCACACCCCTCCCTCGACAAGCGAAGTTAGATACTCGCTGGCCCTTTAAGGGCGGGGAGGGCGGGGAGGCCGCGAGATCCGCGCTCTCAGGCACCGGGATGGAGTGGAGAGGACTGTTTTGTGCTTTTGAGTCAAAAGAGGGGCGCGCGTTCTGGGCCCTGGAGGGGGAGCGGTCAAGTCCGCCGGGCAGGGGCGTCCCGGGCCCCGCCGCCGCGCACGGCCTCCCGGGCCGCGGCCGTGTCCCCACTCCCATCTCCCCGCTCTTCCCTCCCCCTTTTGGCGAAGTTCGAATGTCGAGTTCAAATAGAGAACACTGCGAATCGAAAAGGCCTATAAATTATAGCTTTTGCTTTTAAGAAGGACCGGGGCGGGGGGGGGGGGGGAGAAAGGGAAAAGCAAAAGTTCTGATGGGCATTCTTGGATGAAACCCCGCCTCTCCCCTCCTTCCCCTGCCCCGCTGGAGCCGCGGGGGTGAGTCCAGCCCCAGCTCCGAGCCCCGAGGCCAGGTCCTCTGCGGCACTCCAAGCGGCAAGAAGAGACTGGGTGCGAAGCCGCTGCTCTCAGCAGCGCCGGCCGCCCATCGCCCGCCGCCGCGCCTCCCTCCGTGGGTTCCGCAGGGTGGGCCTGTCTGGCCGTGTGTCCATCGCAGAGCTGGCGGCCCGCCCTCCCCAGGCAGGGAGGCTTGTCCAACTCTTCCTGGGAGGTGGGGGCCGCAGTCTCTTCTCCTGGCAAAGCTAGAGGACGCGAAAAGGAAAAGTCCACCCCAACACTTTTCTTGTAAAACAACTGTCTCGAACTCTGAGCACTGACACGCAATCCTCCCAATTTATCCTGGCATTTCGGGAATGTAAACAGATTCGCTGGATTTCTTTTCTTTCTGCGGAGTAAGGAAAGGAACGAGGGAACGGGGAGATTTTATCCACGTGACATACACACGATCTGCGTGTACCACACACACACCCTCCTTAAAGTGCATTTCCTGGTGTGGTCCTGGGAAGAAACCTCCTGTCCCTGCCTGCCGGTGACTTTTTAACTTCAACATCACACACGAAAAGCTTATTGAAGTTAATACTTTTTTCTCCCTAATAGACTTCTTGACCTTAAAAAAAAAAAAAAAAGAAAAGAAAAGAAAAAAGGAAAACTGACTGACCCCACCCCCCTTTTTTCTGATTGGGGAGCCAACCTTTTGTTGGCCTGCCTAGCCAATGGGAAGAGAGAGCAAATCTGGGCCTGGCCTTGGTGCCAGGAGTCTGGCATTGGGCTATGGGAGAAGGGAGGAGGGGTGGGTGGGCAGGCCAAGCCCCTCAGACATTCCCAGAAACCTGTACCCAGGCTCCCAACTTCCCTAGGGCCCTGGGGCAAGGGGACCCCTCCTGCCCCAACTCTTTCGGCCTGCTCCAACTAAAGCACAATGAGAGTCTCTCTCCTTTAAATAAAACAACTTCAAGAGTTGAAATATATATATTTAGATATTTTTCTTAAATAACATATTTACATCTAATAGAAAATATAACTCTAGAAATAATCTTTCCAACAAAAACTGAGGGGAGGAAGGAAGGATGAAAGGGGCTGGTGGGGCTGGGGGTGAAATCAGGGATGGGACCAGCCAAAGGCCACATCCCACCCAGAAATAAAAATCACTATGCCAAGCTCACGCTCACTGTCTCCCCTGCTCTCGTCCTGGGCACACCAACCCGGCATTCATCTTTTCTCTTTAAAAAAGCCTTGGTCCGTGTTACTTTCCTTAATGGTGACGGTCAAAAAGTTTGAGGTCACGTCCGTGACCACCACCTTCTCCAGGTTAGTCAGGGAGGGGCTCCAGGACTCTTCCTCCGGGTCCCCCAGGATTCTGGCCACTGGAATCCTGGCGATGAGGGAGGGCCTTCCCCCCTGAGCCCCCATGTCCCGGTACAGGCCCCCCACGGAGCTGGGGGGGCCTGAGCCATGTCGGACCCGGGCACCACTGGGATCCAGGGCACCCTGGCCTTTGGTCTCCAGGAAGGCAGCCCTGTGCTTTATCACCCTGGCCGGGAAGGTGTCCACAGCCAGCTTTCCCGTGGCCTCGGCTGAGCTAGGGCTGGTCACACCACACTGCACCAGGTCTGAGTCCTGCCTTCGGGCCAGCTGGATCACGCTGTGGCCGGCTGGGAACTTTCCTGTCCCGGAAGGGGTGTCGTCCATCTTCCTGCCCTTGAGGTACTCTCCGAGGCTGGCGCTGGGTTCGCCCAATGGCCTCTGTGAGGGGTCCGGGAGCTCCTTCCGGGGCTTGGGGCCTCTCTTCTTGGAGCTGTCCCCTGGCGAGCTGGGCTTGTCATCCACTCGGCTGGCGCCCCGCTCTCGTTCCCTCTCACGTTCCCGCTCCCTCTCTCTCTCCCTCTCCCTTTCTCGCTCCCGCTCCCGGTCCCTATCCCGGTCCCGGTCCCGAGGGGGCTCTGCACGGCAGGTGCTGCTGGTGCTGGTGCTGCTGGCTGGTGGGGACAAACCCATGTTCCGAAGGCCTTCTCGGGCACGTGAAGTGGAGGCCAGGTCCTGGGGCGAGCGCCCGGGGTAGGGGATCCGGATACCCCTGGCTGAGTCACTTCGGAACTCGTAAGTTTTGGCCTTTGCCTTGGCCTGGGCCTGCAGGAGAGAAGATGGTATCAAGAGTCGGGCAGAGCCCCGTCCTCCACAGGACTCCTCCTCCAGCCCTGACCTCCTAGCTTTACCCTTTGATATCTGGGAACTTCTACATGGGTGGGCGGGTGGGTGGATGAATGGGTGGCTGGGTGGGTTGGTGGTTGGAGCTGAGATGTGGCAGGGTGGGGGAAGATTTGTCTGGAAGCAGTCATTTGCAAAAAGCACACATTTGGCGTTTGATTACATATCCATTTGGGATGGGGGGAGGGTAAAGGAATTCTAGTATGGCCAAGCCCATTCCCCCAGACACGGCTTGGTGCTGCCACTGACTTGGTGACATCTTGTCAGGGAACTCCCTCCTAGATTACAAATAGGCAACATGTGTGGTCACCCCATTGACTCAAAGCCCTGAGGGCCCCTTCCCAAGAGTAACTCAACATTGTGGTCCACCACTGGACAGTGCCAGCCTACCTTGAGGAGGAAGGTTTTGGGCTTGGGTCCTCGCTTTTTGGGGCCATAGAGCTCCATCTCTCTTTCCCTGGAGAAAGAAGGGAAGGAGAAAGGGTGCGTGAGTAAAGAAAGCAAGAGGGACTCTAGAGCAGCTGGAGAGAAGCACTCTACTTGTTTCTAAGTGAGTGGCTAGGACTTGGAAGGGTCTGTACCTTTCCTCAAAGGCCGCCAGCAAGCGGGCATCCAGGATGTTTTCCTCCGGTTCCCAGGTGCTGTACCTAAAGGAAATCAGGAAGAAGTCGGCATCAGTCCCAGGAGCAGGGTGAGAGCTGAGGCTGTATGTGTGTGTAACTTTTCTCGTTGCATTGTATTGTATTTCAACGTAAAGGCAAAAAGAGGAAGAAAGAAACCTTCTGAATAACAGTCTGGGGTTGAGAATTGCATACAACCTACTTACTTCTGCGACCATCCCTTCCATTTCACGAGGTATTCCATGCGTCCCTGCGGGTGCAAAGGGGATAATGTGTGTGCATGGGGAGAAATGCATGACGAGGATACAAGAAATGCATGCGAAAATGCATGCACCAGATGAATGCTCGAAACCCCGCCGCAAAAGGCACGCGCCCACTGCATCACCCCTGCACCTAACGCTGCACAAAGTGCATGCACCGGCATTCATCGCCCACCCCGCCCCCCACCCATGCAATCCGTGCATCGCTGCAAGTCTAAGGAAAGCGCTTGGGCTCAGAGCCACCGCCGCCGCCGCCGCCGCCGCCACGGCCGCGGCCGCTGCTGGGACCTGGGGGAAGGGAAGCTGGGCTGCAGCAGGGGGAGGGAACCCGGGCCGGGAGGGGAGGGCCCGGCCGCAAGGAGGCCCAAGGCCCGGGGGCACCTACTTTCCTTATGCGCCGCTTCAGGAGGGCTTCGGCCGCGAACACCCGCTCCCCCACCGCTGAAAGCTCCATGTTGACTCGCCGCTTCCCCCCTTGGCCGCTTCCAGGAGCAGAAAAGCAGCAGCCAGCGCACGACAGACCATAATACTCTCCCGCTGACGTCAGTTCTCCTCCCCCTCCCCGCGCACTCGCTCCCTCCCGCGGCCCCCCTCCCGCGCTCCTCGGCTCGGCCCCCTCCCCTCCGCCCAGCGCTTCCTCCCGCCCCACGTGTTGCTAACGACGTTGCTAAAGCCGAGCGGCCGGAGGCCTGCGCCCCCGCACGCTGATTGGGCGAGCTCCGAGCCACGCCCCTCTCCCTTTCTCCCCCGCGTTGCTACGTGACCCGCGTTCCAATCGCCAGGGGGCGGAGTCCGAGGCGACTCCAGAGACTAGCGCGCGAGTGGGAGGGGGCGCCGCAGGAAGTGACGCTGCGGGGAGGGCGGGCCCTGCCGCTGTCAGTCTGCGGGGCTGGTGAGGGGGGTAGGCCGCCCTGTGTCCTCGCCGGGGTCCCCCTCCCCCGCCACCAAGTAGTCCCTCCGGTGCTCGACGTCCCCCACAGCTCTCGCTGGGATCCCCGCGGCGTTGTCAGCCTGGCTCCGCCCCTCGGCAGACCCCGGCCCGCCCCACCCCCCACCGCCTAGGACTCGCGCTGTCCCCTCCCCCCACCGACCGCGCCGCACAATGCACAATGCACAGGTGCTGGGGCGCCGCGGGCTGCGCGCGAACCCCGAGAGCCGGCGGCGCGCCCAGGGCCGGCCTCTCCACCGGTCCCCGGCCCCCGCCCCCGCCCCTCGTGCCGTACACCCGACCCCCGGTCTCCATGGCAACGCCCCCTCCGCCAGCCGGGTCCCGCTAACAAATCAATGTGCCTGTGTCTCAGGCTCCTGTCGCGCGGCCCTGCCCTCGGCCACCCTCCGGGCCCTGCGAGTCGGGCTGACTGGAGCGCTGGTCCCCGGCTCCGAAGCCGAGCACAGACCTGGTGGAGGCCGGGCTGCTCCTTCCGGACCCCACCAGCGGCCCGGGACCCCGCAGAGGATGTCATGCGGCTTCTTCCTGCCCCCCCCCCCACCGTCCCCGACGCCAGCAGCCACCTGCCCCTGCCCTTAGCTCCCGCGGCCGGCCCCCGCCAGGCCCTGGCCTGGAGGCTCGCCTGCCCTGGCCGCCCTCTGCCCGGGGCCTGAGTGGGCTAAGGGTATCTGGGCAGGGCGCGCGGCTGGGGGTGCGTCCGGCTTCCCCCGGACCCCAGCGCCCGGCCCGCGCACTTCCTGCCCACCGCCCTTCCCACCGTGCGCGGCCGACACCCTGCGAGAAACGCTGGCACGGGAAGTTGGGGGACGCCGCCCGGTCTAGTGCGGGCTGGGCGAGAGGGTTTCACGCGCGAAGATGGGGAGCTCCTGGAGAGGGACAAGGGCCGGCCGCGGCTGCGTCGGGTGCGCACACACGCACGTGCACGGCCGACCCTGCCGGCGGCTTTGCTGCCGGTGACCCGTGGCGGGGCCGGCGCTGGGGACAGCAGCCGCACTCTGGGCCCAGCTCCCTCCCACCCTGTTCTCTTATTGCCCAAGCTCCTGATTACAACTCCTACTCCTTGGAACCCACGATTTAGTTCAAACATCGATGATCAGCCGAACTGGAAGCGGTTTCCCTTGGCCAGAGCTGGAGTGGAAGAAAGGGAGGGTGAAAAAAGAGAGAGGCAGAGAGAGAACGATGGGAAGCGAGAGAGAAGCAGCCAAGGAGTCTGACTCGAAGGGGCAGAAAGCCCAGAGCGGAAAACTGGCCTCCTGTCCAAAGTGAGGCGCGCGCAGGCGGCGGCAGCCCCGAGGTCCTCGACCCGCGGAGCAGGCAGGGAGCTTCGCCCATCTTCCCTCCCAGCCCTGACCCAGCGCCTGGAAACACGGGTTTCAGGTTTTGGCCTCGCTCCTAAACTTCACAAGGTAGCCGCTGGTCGTACAGTCACATCTCTCTGGCCTTTCTGTCTGAACGAACAGCGCGTCGAGGACGCTCAGATCTCCCGGTGACTCTCCCGGGCCGCCCGTGGGAGGCCGCCGACGGGCGCGTCCTTAATCATAAAAAGTCATTCCCGGTAACAAATAGTTTCGTCGGCCGGTGCCAGCGATACAGCTGTTTCTGTTTAAGCTTAAATACTTTCCAACAGTTTGGGCAGTAAAAATAAAGTCGGCCTCAGCCGCCTGTAAGTGTCTGGTTTCCCCGCCCAGAGAAAGCCCACCCTCCACCCTGGGTCCGGGTCGCTCAGCCTGTCCCGCCCGCCCCCTCTTGGAATCCGCTGCTTGCGGAAGGCAACCGCTGCCGCTGCGAGTCCGTCCCAGCCCCGCACCGGCCCCCTGAACTCCTCGGGCTGGCTCCAGAGCCACCATGGAAGTGGGAGAGAGGGGGCCTTCCCGGAGTGGGCCGGGGGACCAGACCCGCCTGGCCTCGCGCCCTCCCCCCACCCCTGGCAAGGTCTCCCGCACCCGCGAAGAGCGGTGGTTTTCCTTCAGATAGAGTTTCTGGAGCTGGGTTCCCGGGGGGTTGTGCTTGCCCTTGATGCCTTTACAGTCCGTGGGGTTTGCACTAGGCGTGCAGAGGGCGATGGTTTCAGTTTCACCCCGAAGAAGATATCTTTAGTCCTTTCTCCATGCGTTCTTTCCATTTTCCTTCCTTCCTTGCTTGCTTCCTTCCTCCTTCCCTCCTTTTTTTCTTTCCTTCCTTCCTCCCTTTTCTTGTTTCCTTCCTTCCTCCTTCCCTCCCTCCCTCCCTCCCTTTTTTCCTTCCTTCCTTCCATGTCCCTCTCTTTCCACCTCATTTTCCCTTCTTTGCCTAAATACCTGTGAAACTTAAGTGAAGAAATGAAACTCCTGATGCTGGCAGGTACGGCCCCTCCTCTGGACAGGGTATTAAGTAATTAGCTTACCTTCCCCACCCAATTTCCCACCCATCTTTGTGCCTGATGGCGATTATTTCAGAAATGCTTGCTCTGAACAAAATTACCGCTTGCGAAGAGTCTGAGTTTGCAAACGTCGGGGATTCCTGCAAAGCCTGTGCCAAAGGTGGAACTCGATTCAGAAGGAAAGAAGAGGTATAGGATAATCTGAGGGCAAGTAGCCCGCCTCTTGTCAGCAGCAGACGCGCTCACTCCCGCCAAGGAAGGCAATCCCCAACGGGGCAGAGTGCGTTTCACCCCTGCCTGGGGCACCCCCTTCCCCCCAACAGCCCCCAAGAGAACAGCGTTGCAGGGGGTGTGAAAACAGGTCAACTGGCAACCTCACTCCTGGACAGTTTGGAGACAAAGGGAGGTGGCGGTATGAGAAATGGGAGCCCAACTTCGGGGTCTGGCTGTGTGGGTACCGAAGGATGTCCTGTCTGCTGGGAGAGAGCGCTGGGAGAGGGTGCTAGAATGCGTGGGGGTGCGGGGGAGGAGGTTTGCAGTCATTCCAGCCGGGTCTAAACCAGACCCAGAGGACAGGTCAGCTGGTTGCATGGTCTTAGGAACCCACAGAAAGAGGATCCTTGCTCCCTACCTTTCTTATCGAACCCCCTTCCCTGACCCACTCAATTCTCGCCACCTCCCTTTTCTCCACACAACCACTTTCATTGTTCAAAGTTAGATAACTGCCTTTCCCACCTACACCTCCCAGGAGCAAACAAAGTTGTAAAAGACAAGACACGCTCGCTACTCCTAATCCCATCGCTCGGCTGTCCGCTGCAGAGGCTGCGGCTGTTGGGTTCGCGTGCGCCGCCTCTGCAGTAAATAAGGTAACTGCTTCCTATTACTTTAGCCCCATATGGCTGCAATTTGAGTGTCTTTAGAGACAGTGCGTGTGTTGGGGCGGGGGATGGGGGGAGTGAAAGTGGAAATCAAATGCTTTCAGATAGCATTTTTATGAAGGAAATTGTCGGCGATTCTCTTAACGGCCGCCCCCTCTCCAGAGACGAGCTGCCCAGTTTCTTTGTTTACGGAAATGCGGGCTCCCGCCCGCCTGGGGACACCTGCTTCCCAAACCCCGAGGTCTCCGGCCCGATTCCGCACTCTTGCGACGTGAGTGCACGGCCCGCGACTGCCCCTCCCGACAAAGGGTCTGCGACCTGCTCCAGGGAGCCCGCCCTACCCTCGGCCTCAGCCACTCAAAGGTGCCCGGACTCTGCACTCTCTGCAGCCTCCTGAGAGCCCGGAGTTTAGGGGCCCTCTTAGGCCTCCCTGGGTCCTCCCTCCGGGAGGGAGGCTGGAGGCTGGAGGCTGGCGCAGTACGAGGAGAGGGGCTGACTGGCCCCAGCGGGGCGCTGGGCTCCTGGGTCGCCGGCTAGGCCGACAAGCCCTAGCGCGTCCTGTAGCTCGAGGATGAGGCCGGCCCGGTTGTTTGGGAGCGTTTCAACTCCGCGGCTTGGCGGGCGTCGGACCTGCCGGCTCTTGGCCGCGGACGCAGGCAGATTTGGAAGCCAACCGTTTGCCTTGCGCGGCCGGCAGCGAAGTGAGCGCCGGCGGCTCCGAGGCGTGGCCTTATGGCCGGTGGCTTACCTCCCGGGGCCCCGGAGCCGGAGCCGGAGCCGGGAGGGCGTCCCGCAGTGCTGCTTCCCCGACGCCGAGCTAGGGCTGGGCGCCTGCCGCCTGCTATGGGAATGCCGCAGGGTGACCCGACATTCTGGAAACTGGTCCCAATGCCCAGCCTAGGAGACGGGAAGGGAGGTGGTCCAGGATTTTGGCCTTGGTTCCCTCTGCTAGTTATTCCCAGGAGCAAGAAGCTCCCACCTTTTCTGTCCCGCTTTCTCCTCCCTAGGAGACATCCACAGCTCCTCCTTGCTAGAGAAGCACTAGAACCGGGTGCAAAGGATACGAAGGGGCTGCCTGCTCTACAGGAATCTCCCACGAGGCTGCGCACACTCTAGAAGCCACAATTCTGCCTTAAACCCCAGAAACTGAAATCAGGCCACCTTTCTTCCCCTCCACAGGGGAAAATATTCCCTCAGAGTTAAGCAACATCTATTACTTAAGTAGTTGCCCTATGTCTAGTGCCTGTGTTATCCCAGTTAAGATTCACAGCAGCCAGGTAACATCAGTTCTATTACCCCTATTTTCTAGATGAGGAAAGCGAGGCATAGAGGGTGCCAAGTCACTTGCTCAAGGGCACAGCAGGGGTTCTGCCTGAGAAGCCCAAAGCAAAGCCCGACGCTCAAGCCCCTAAAGCTTCATGGCGGGGGCATTGGATTCTTGTGAATTTCAGTTCCTCCAAGGCTTGAGGAAGAAATTTAAGAAAAGTCCGGTGGAGCCTCCTGGGAGCGTAGAGCAGTGCTCCAGCAGGAAGACTCTCAGAGCCTTCAGCAACAAGGATGAGGCTGAAACAGGAGTTCCAGGAACTGCAGAGCGGTGCTCCAGCGGGAAGACTCGCAGAGCCTTCAGCAACAAGGATGAGGCTGAAACAGGAG